GCCATCTGGCATGATTTGCCTGCATCAACTTTATCCCAAATTACATTTCCCTTTACAGTGCACTTGAGTGTGTAAGTTCTGCTCGTAGGCAGCTCTTTAAAGGAACTAATAAATACTCAGGAAACACAAAGTAACCCAGAGAAATCAAAGTTTAAGTCCAAAGTTGTTACACAGAAGAGGCTGCAGGAGTGACTGTATGAGCTGGTGAACCTAGATTTTTATGGACCGCCGCATTTTCATTTCCATTGTTTTACTCAGTGCCACTCTTGTAATACACATTATCCTGGAGCTGAAGTTAGATCATTCACTTGTTTGTTCAGCCACTCCTCTTTAGAATGGTCCAGCACTGACACTCTGCTGTAGGCTGTGATGTCCCCAGTGTGGTAGTTGAGATCTGTGGTCGTTTTGCTTTTACTATTTCTGAGTGTTTTCTAACTATTTGTTAAGTATAGGACAGTAGCTCGGGGGATGGGCCAAAGTAATATTTAAAACCTGTTTCCTGGAGAATTTTAGCTTGAAATAGTTAACAGAAGATTTATTTAATGTGATGCTGTTTGTGCTTAGGAATTTAGGGTTTTGTTATATTTCATGTATGTCTCCGGATAGATATCGAGAAATGCCTTTTTGTTTTTGTTTTCTTTGAGACAGGGTTTCTCTGTGTAGCTCTGGGTATCCTGGAACTTACTCCGTACACCAGGCTGGCCTCGAGCTCAGAGATTTACCTGCCTCTGCCACCCAGTGCTGGGAAATGCTTTTTAAAACAGCAAACACAAAAGTGAAGTATTTCTGGTAAGTTAGGTCCTTTAACTTCTCTTGCTATTAAGGTGACATATATCACTAATTGCAGCATTCTCCTACCCCTGCAGACTCAAGAGAATTAAGAGGAGAGAATGGGAACTCCACACTCAAACAGTTAGCTTTTTTGGAGGGCAGGGCACTGGGCATTGAACCTGTATTCTTGTGCATGCTAGGCACAATGTTCTGCCATTGAGGTGAATTCTCAATAGTGGTTTTGGAGACAGGGTCATGCTGTGTTGCTCAGGCTGGAGTCCAGTCTGGCCTTGAACTCATTCTTTCTCCCACAGCCCTCCAAGTTCTGGGATTATTGGTGTGTGCCACCATGTCCAGCTATGTGTATCTATTGTGAATGAGCAAATATAGTTCTGCTCATATTCTGCAAAGTATTGTTTTATTTTGATTTTGTTACTGTAGATTGCACGTGTAAGGGGCTCATCATCATCTTCTGTCCTTTCTGACACTGGGATTCTAGCTCACCTAGAGGCACGGCACACTTGAGAATAACAGGTTCATTTCAGCCCCATTCCTGTTACGAACACAGCATGACTGGCCCTTCATAGTGGTCTCAGAAATCTTGGTGTGGCTGTTTTTCCTTCAAGCTGCACTTCACTAATGTAGGCAGCAGAGGTGGAGCTCAGGCTCTCGTCCCTGAACACTGGAGGATGCTTTGTGGTTTCTGAGTCTCTGCTCTGCCGCATACAGCAAGGCTCCAGAGACATATTTGTCTATGTGGCGAGGGAATGAAGGAAAAAGATGGACACATCATTGGCTGGGATTGGGTAGTCTTGGCTCTCTGCTGAAGAAGCTGCAGCAGTCCCAAAGTTCATTGCATTTATTATATTATATAGAGTTAAACAGAGAGACAGAGCTATTGCATACAGTTGAGCAAGGAGGGAAGATTATTATATATATAGATAAACAAGGGGGTGAGGCTTATGGTATTCAGGAGACAGGAATAGCCAATCTCTGTAGGAGCAGTCTCTATAGGGGAGCAGCCATCCTGCCGTAAATATCCGAGGAGAGAAAGCTATGGAGGGTGTTTTCTGCACACGTTGTCAACGTCTGCATATGGATCAGAAGGGCTGACTTTGCCATTTGCCCACACATCTGATGCTAGGGTCGTTAATATGGCCAAGCCAATGCCAACAATACACTCACAGGGACCTCACAAAGTCAGGGCTCCCTACACTCCCTACACTGCCCTGCAGTTGAGATTTTTTGTTGTGCTTTGCCACTGTGACCTGGATTAAGAATCTCCCAAGTGCCACCGAGGAGTTAGTTGTGGGCAGCCAGTGGGTAGGAATTCCTTGCTCAAAACCCTTGTTACTGATCCAATAGTTAATTCTAGACCTTTGTGTGTCTCTGTGTATACCTGATATAAGACAGAAACAACAACAACAAAAAGATATGTATATCTGTGTGTTTTTTCTTTTCCTTTTTTATTATTTACATTCTAATCCCAGTTCCCCCTCCCTTCTCTCTTCCTACTCCCCTCACTCCCCCTACTCCCCCCTCGTCCCATCTGCTCCATTGAGAGGGTAAGGCCTCCCCTGGGAAGTCTACTAAGTCTGTCCCATCATCTCATTGAGGCAGGACCAAGGCATCTCTCCCCCACACCCCTGTGTCTAGACTGGGCAAGGTATCTCTCCATATAGAATGGACTCCACTAAGTCAGTTTGTGCATTAGTGTTAGATCTTAGACCCACTGCTAGTGGCCTCATATATTGTCCCAGTCACACCATTGTCACCTGTATAAAGGGAGTCAAGTTTGGTCTAGTTTTATTTTTTTTAAACAGGGATCTCACTACGCAGTCCAGGATGACCTCAAATCCTTGATCCCTGTTCTTTAGCCTCTCATGCACTACGTAGGATTCTTTGATTTTTCCAAATGCTAGGAATCCTCAACCTTCCAGTTGTTAGATAGTTGATAGGATTCCTTAGGCCCACAAATGCTGGGAGTGTAAGTATGGCCCCATGTGTGTCTTGGACCTCATTTATTTTAATCATATCCTTTCAGCCTCTATGGCTACAGATTTGAACCATTCCTGTAGTTTCTCTGAGCAGGAGTTTAATGTCTTTTCCAGGTACATGGCCTCCATCCCCTGTTACGGCATAGGTAGAAACTTGATGTTATGGGTTCCCTTTCCCATCGTTGACCTCTGCCAGGCTAGACTCTCCGAGCAGCAGCAGCAACTTCATCATGGTGAATGCCTTTCTTCACAGACTTCCCTTCGTGTCCTCCTGCCTCCCTGTGCTGATAGCTATTAACCTCCGTGAACAATCTCATCAGACTCTGTACCATGTGTGTTATATTTCAAGTGTGTGGGCGAGAGTTCTTTTTGATGCTTAATGTCAAATATAGCCAATGCCAGCTAAACATGTATAGGTTGCTCTTGCTGGTGACTGAGAACACAAGGCCATCACTGAGGTAGAGGTGTCTTTTTGGCAATTTCTCTGTGTTTAGTATGTATCCTCTGACTTAATCTAATGTCACCTATAAAGGTTTAGAACCATTTTTTCTTCTTTGTTTTGAGTCACAAATGAGAAAAATACATGTACCACGGGGCTCAGGAACACTGCTCAGTGTGCCATTGGGTTGAGCTGGCATCACACGTGGCAGACCTAGTGAAGAGGAAAGAATTAGTGGGCAGCACTGGTACACGTGGTCACCCAATGCAAAGACGGTCATGTCTCAGTTCCCTCATCACTTTGCGGCATGTAGGGGATCGTGCACTTGATGGGGGAACAGATCACCAGATTCTGGGCATCTCAGGGACCCTCTAGCGTGTCAGAAATGCCCTGTCATGCACATACCTCATAGCCAGCCAGGCATGAGATATATGCTGTCTCTGTAAGCACTGGTCCCTCCACTTTGGATATAATCTAGCAGTGAAGTTGGGGTTGAGTTCCACATAGTTAATGAGGACCTTGGACTGTTGGCTTGGAGGTACAGGGTGACCCACAGGACTCTCATGCTGCCTGCTATGTGAGCTCAGTAGGTTTTGAGTAAGCAGTTTCTGGTTGCCATATTCATTCTTACCAATTTTAACTAAAAGACCTTTTGATTACCTGATTTCTCCCTGATGTACTGTTGGCATCAAAGAGTTTGTGTTTGTTTGAGAGCATCTGAACTAACATAAGTAACTAAGTTTTACAAGCCCACCAGAGACTATATAGTCTATACTGCTGTAGTTATTAGGTACATTTTAATCCCCCAGTAGGTGGTAGAAGATGGAGTGTATGTGTGTATGTGTGTATGTGTGTGTGTGTGTGTGTGGTTTTTGGTTTTGCTATTTCCTTACATTAATGTTTAACAACCTCAAGTCAGTGTTCATGGTATCATTGTCAGGAGCATTCAGAAATTCCATATTATGATAAAGTCTCAATTTTTCTTCCGTAGTCATAGAAATTAGTGCTTCCTGAGCGGATCTCTACCCACATGGTCAGGAAATAACTGCTGACCACATCCATCTCATCTATCTGCATATTATCATATTTCAGAGGCTTTCCAATTAATCCCATGGAAGCCAGAATCACTCCTAATTATAAGCCTGTTATGCCTCTTTATTTTTTGAAGTACTTGTTAATTCATGCCTACCCCTGCAGCAGTCCGAAACACAGCGCTATTATCAGTGCTTTTGTCTTTAAAAGCCTCCTGTCTGCCATTTGACCAAGATTGATCAACTGCACTCTACTGAAATCAATCACTTTGGATTAAAAAAATCCATCCTGCATATTTCTTAAGGCTACTCTCGCACGATTCTTCCCCTCTTAACCCGATTAATCAATCTGCCAGCCCGGTTGCTTTTCTCCATTTTGGCTTCCTTTCCTTGCTTTTCTCTTCTTAAGGCACTGTCGGTGTACCTTGATGTCTTTATTTCTCGTGCTGTCTTGTAGACAATGCCTCTGGAATGAAGAACCACCTGCAGAAGGCAATAGAATAATGCCTCTGTTTAAATCTGCCCAGGCACTCCTCTCCGTACTTTTTTTAAAGAATGAAAACGACAATCCTTATATTTGGTGATTCTTTCCTTGTTTGGTTTTGGAGTTTACGAGTCACAATTGGCTTCTAGACACTTGGGAGGAGCCGTGACATATGCGCTTATTATTTATAGCATCTCACTGCTTTGTATTATGATCTTACCCTGAGATCCCAAATGTCCTTTGGACAGATTCATTCGTATTTTATTTTCTCCTCCTAGGTACTGACTTTAACATAGACAGCTTGCCTCTGCCTCGGAAAGCCTATCATGACTGGGCCCTTTTCCATGAAGAGTCCCCCAAAAACAACTATAAGCTCTTCCACGAGCCGGTCATCACCTTATTCAACCACACAGCCACGTTCAGCCGGCACTCCGACTTGCCGCTGACCACCCAGTACTTGGAAGGTGTGGAAGTCCTGAAGTCTCGCAGATACCTGCTTCCTTTGCAGTCTAAAAACAAGCTAAGAGAAAAACTTGCTCCACTGGTGTACGTACAGTCAGACTGTGATCCACCGTCAGACAGGGACACCTATGTTCGTGAGCTGATGGCTTACATTGAAGTGGACTCCTATGGTCAGTGTTTACAAAACAAAGAGCTTCCTCAGCCACTGAAAAATCCAGCCTCCATGGACGCCGACGGCTTCTACAGAATCATCGCCCAGTACAAGTTCATCCTTGCGTTTGAGAATGCGGTCTGTGACGATTACATCACAGAGAAGCTCTGGAGGCCACTGAAGCTGGGGGTGGTGCCTGTGTATTACGGATCCCCCACCATCGCAGACTGGCTCCCGAGTAACAGAAGCGCCATCCTTGTTTCAGACTTTCCTCACCCCAAAGAACTGGCACGCTTCATTAGACAACTGGATCACGACGATCGATTGTACGAAGCCTATGTGCAATGGAAGCTGAAGGGTGAGATCTCTAACCAGCGACTTGTGACGGCTCTCCGGGAACGGAAGTGGGGAGTGCAAGACATCAACCAGGACAACTACATCGATACGTTTGAGTGTATGGTGTGCCGCAGGGTGTGGGAAAACAGTAGGCTACAGGAGCAGGCGAGTGAAGGGAACGTGGGTGTGTGTGTGTGGTGGGGGTGCGGGTAGGGGTGGGGCTGGGGGGCGGCCTGTCTCTGCCTCTCTGTGTGGTGTTGACCTTCTATCTGTGGCTGCTGCCTGCCACCATTCTCCATTTCTAGCAGAGAGGTGTGCCACCCAAGAAGGTAGAAGATCTCTTCACTCTTTGGGGACACTGGCACACTTACAAGGCAGGACCTTCTGAAGCTCTCCATGTTTCTTCTGAGGGGTACTTTTGCTACAGGTTCTGGGCATTGACACACGGGGCTGCCGAAGAGGGGAGAGGGTCCCCGAATCAGAAACTTAAGGGGTCTGCCTGCCGCCTGCGTGGGCAACCCTGTAATCTGACACCTATTCTGTTGCTAAGGAGTTTAGGATTTGTGCCAGCTGCTCTCAATCAACCACAGCCTGCATCCAGCCACCTCTGTCTCCATTCTTGATCTTGATCTGTCTGACACACACTCAGACTTGCTAATATAATTTAGTTTTCCTAATCCTTAATGCTTGGGATCAGAAGAATTTCAGCTTTTGAAGTTTTCTCATTCTTAAATTATTTTCATAGCCTTTGCCACTCGAACTTTCTAATCCCCAAATCCCAAACCTGAAATTAGAAAGTTTTGAATGTCAGTTTGTTGCTCAAAAGGTTTCCGACTTTGGAGCATTTTGGATTTCAGATCTTCAGGCCTCACACGAGGGATGCTCAACTTATATGAAGACTTCAAATAACAATGAGGCTAGTGCCGTGGAGCCAAGACTCCAAGGATCACCCAACAGAACAGGAGTACTAATTTGATAGTGCTTATTAAGCTGGCTGGCCACTGCCTGGAGAAAACCAGTTCTTTCTGCAGGGAGCTTTTAAAGGCAAAATCCATATCCTGGCTGTCAGTTGCAAGTAGAAGTACAGCAAGTAAGCTGTTTAACAGAAGCAAAAAGCAGCAGTTGGGGGGCCATCTTGGTCTCAGGTCCCTGGGACAAGATTGGGTGATTTTTTAAAGGGACTTGCCCACAGGAGGGGATGTAAGCGAAGAGTCAGCTCTGAGTCAGTCCTCAGCTGCCTGCAGCAGAGATAGGACCTCATCAAAACTGAGATTTCTATCTCCTTGAACTTGTACTACCCAGACTCCAGAACAGTGAGAAACATCTAGTTTATAGTGTCCTGCTATAGCAGAATATTTAGTGACTTCCCTAAGATATAAGGTAGGATATTAAACAAAGGCTATGTACAAGAAAAATGGCAGAATTAATTTGTCAGCTTAATAAAATTGAAGTATACAAAGTTGATAAGATGATTTTTCTATAGTTTAATCAATAAACAATTAGAAAAATAAATTGTTTAAAAATACTATTATAGTACCATAAAATATGAACTAATTAGAGTTGTCTGGCCACTTAGACAACATTACACACCAGAAGTGAAAAATACTGTTTAGAGAAGCTGAGGAAGAGCTAAATCAATGGTCAGATAAATCATGCCCAAGGATTTTGTCAGTATTGTTGTCAGTTCTAAAATTGATAGCGATTTAACATAATCTCAATAAAAAGCCTATTAAGTATTTTTGTAGCGATTGACAAATGAATATTAAAAAAACATATGTGGAAAAGTAGAAGACCTAAACTGACATGAAATTTGCAGGTAAATGGATGGAGCTAGAAATAAATATTCTTTGTGAGATAACCTAGACCAAGAAGGACAAGCATGGAGTGTTTTCTCACATTTGTGGATGTTAGCTTTGAATCGTTAGATATTTTTGGGATTTCTTTAGAGGCCAAGAAACTTGTAAGAGGCTTTCGGGGTTGGGTTCAACATAAGGGATATAGAATGCAGATGACATGAAGGGGGGTGAGAAATAATGGAGCAAGAAGGAATAAGTGGGATTGCTAGGGTAGAAGAGGGATTATGGGGAGGGACAACTAATGCTTCAGACCTTTGAGAAAGTCATGTGGAAACCTACTACTGTAGAAGCACACACACACACACACACACACACACACACACACACACACACCCTTTAATGTGAGGACAATGCTCCTCCTAGACCCTATAGGCTACTAAAAGCCAATTATAGGAATGAGTGACCTCTTCTTTTGGAGTTGTTAGTCCCATGGACTCCCTCACAAAATGTTGTGGGCTATCGCCATCACTGTTGACTGCCTTCCAGAACTTGGGTAAGATTCTTGTCAAAGACCCTGTACACTCAAGCCATAGAACACGGAGAAAGCAAGCAGGCACTGATCTGGTAGCTTTATTTGTATTGGAATGTGCTGTACATGCTCCTTGAGGAGAAAAGTAACCATCAGTCTTAGATAGCTGAGAATTATATGAGCTTAAAAAATGACTGGCCTGGCAAGATATGCCCACTGGTACAGCAGTGGCATGAATGTTATGGGAGTAGTCAACCACTTTCTGGTTGGATTTAAGGCCTTCTTCATACGATGGTGCTTATACCTGGCACCATTATAAGGGCCAAGAACACATGCTATGGCTAGACAGACTCCAGGTCCTAGGGAAGAACCTATTACTGTTATTTTGCTAAATAGATATAGTATTAAACCAAGTCCTAATGACTTATCATTATGCCCATAGATTAGTATATCTCTCAGCCCTGTTAGAGACACTTCTTTTAGTAGTTTATGGTGTTTAAACAGAGACCCACAGCTATTCAAGGAGTGGAGAATAAGAGCCTGTGCTCTCAGCTCTAAATGTGATGTGTACATCACACTTCTCCCAAGCCTCGGGATCATTGTAAAAGAGCAAAGAGAAAGATAGTAAGAACCAGAGGTGATGAGTTAGGGTTAGGTTTAGAGTTAAAATAGTGTTTTCTGGACATAGATGGGCAGCTGTCCATACGAACTTGCAGAGATAAGACTTATGCAAGCTTAAGACAGACAGATTTCTGCATGGAGGGAGGTGGTGGTCAGGAAGTCCCACCCCTAGCTGAAGATCTATTGAAGGCACTTAGTAGTTTCTGGGAGAGGGGGATTCAGTTTTATTTAAAGTTGTGACCCCTGGTAAATAGGGACATAATCCAGTGGATGTCTCCAAACCCAGGATTATATGAGTATGTGAGCAATACCTATTGGACTGAATGGGTTATCCTAAAAATAAAGAAGTCATGAAGTGTGTTTGAGGGTAGGAGTGGATCTGGAAAAGTTGGGAGAGGACTAGGGAATAAGTATAATAAAAAATGCATTGCATTAAAATCTCAAAGAATTGAAATTTAAGACTGTCTATATATTTCTGATAAAGCTTTAAAAACATACTTGGGGAAAAGACTGCCTATTCAGTAGATTTTGCTGGCAAACTGTATATCTACCTGCAGAAGAATGAAATTAGAGCCCCCTCTCTTACCCTGCACAAAAATCAGTTCAAAATGAACCAAAGACCTTAATTTAAAAACAGCCAAAACTCCTAGAGGAAAATACTTCGGGGTATGGGATAGGAATAGGCAAGAACTTTCTAAATAGATCCCCAGGAACACAGCAAATACCCTCAAGAAATGACAAATGGGATTTCATGAAATTAAAAAGCTTTTGCACAGCAAAAGAAACTACCAGCAGAGGCAACAGACAGCCTACATAGAGAATGGGAGAAAATTGTTGTCAGCTATACATCAGGCAGGGATGTTGATATCTGGAATATATAAAGAACTGCAAATATTAACACTAGAAAGCAAAACAATAAATGGGTTAATGAACTGAACAGACAAAGCCTAAAATATGAAACACAAATGGCCATTGAAACATATGAAAAAAATGCTCAACCTCATTAGTCATCAGAGAAAGAAAACCCTGAAATTCCATCTCCATTAAGAATGGCAGGCATTGTGAAAACAACAAATGATGATGAGGTTATGGTCATAACAGAACCCTGGCTGGCATGTAAATTAGTTGAGTCACAATGGAAATCAGTATGGAGGTGCCTCAGGAAGCTAAGAATATATCTATCAAATGACACAGCTATACGACTTCTGGGTATTAATGTAAAGTACTGCAAATCAATATATCTCAGAGAAACTTGCACACCGATATTTGCAGCACCACCCAGCAGCAGAGGAATGGAGGAAGAAAATGTGGCTCATAGACATGGAGTTTTTTCGGCTCTAAAGACATTAAATTGTCAGCAAGGAAATGGATGAGCTGGAGAGAATCATGCTAAATGAATTAATCCAGTCTCAGATAAATGTCTCTCATATGTGGTTCCTTGATTGTATAGATTTGATAAAACCACATGTGAACAAATAACATAAAAGCGAAAACAAAATTGTCTAGGAAACAAAGGGACTTAATGGAAATGGGAGGGCTTAGGGGAGAATAGAGTGATACGGAGGGAATGATATTCAATGTGTCATACATACTTGTACCAAAATGCCTGTATGTAACACAGGACCAGATACCATAAATATGTTATAATATAGTTTTAAGAGATATGTACTGTATGGCTGAGGCCTCATAGGCTTTCCCCTGGTGACTGGCATGTCCATCGGTGCCATCCTTGTTCAGCTGACATTCAGGCGATCATCTTGGTGAGACTTTATGGTGATATTTTATGATGTTACTAGGAGACACAACCTCAGAGCAGACACCTTCATCCTCTGGCTCTGACAGTCTTTTTGCCCCGTCCTCTGCAGTGTTCCCTGAAGGGAATGTCTTGTGTGTGTATAACCATTGACACTGGGCCCCACATAAAGAGCCATTGGCAACCAAGGAATGCTGGGAGCAGGAGAATTGGTCTTCCCTGGGGTAGAGCACACCAGTTGGTTGTCTGGTGCCAGCCCTGAAAACATGTATACAAGTAATACTGTAAGGACTGAACACGTTATATTTAAGAATATCTATGTATATACATAAACATATACACATGCCATGACAATTGTGAAAAAAGAGACCATGAATTTGAAGGAGAGCAGGGAGGGGTTTATAGGAGGGCGTGGAGGGAGGAAAGAGAAGGGAGAAATGTAATTATAATATCAAAAAAGTCATGT